ATCAAATTATTGTATACAGATACGGATAGTTTAATATATCATATATTTACAAATGATTTTTACACTGATATAAAACCTGACCTTTCATCATACTTTGATACCTCAGATTATGATACAAATAATATTTTTGAATATCCAAAATTAAATAAAAAGAAATTAGGTTTTTTTAAAGATGAAAATAATGGTAAAATCATGAAAGAATTTGTGGGTTTACGATCCAAAATGTACGCTTTTAACTTAGAGAATAAGACTATAGCCAAGGCAAAAGGGGTAAATAAATGTATCACTAAAAAGATGACAATGAATAGTTATAAGTCTTCTCTATTTAATAAAAAAGTGCAATATTATAGTATGCTTAGATTTAAATCAATTAAACACACAATTTTCACACAAAAATTAAATAAGATAGGTTTATCATATAATGACACAAAGAGACATATTTTAGATAATAATATTGAAACATTAGCTTGGGGTCATTATAAACTGCGTTAAGTGTTGATAGTTTTTACTTTTATGTCTGCGTTTAAGAAAAATTTATATTGATTGTAAAATTATGATAATACTATAATATGACGTAGTTTATTACATATTTAAACATTGTTTTATTGTAAATAATTTAAGTTGTTTATTGTTAATTGTTGTTTCTATTTATTTGAGGTTGAGTTAATTGTAAAATTATGATGTACTAATTGTTGTTTCTATTTATTTGAGGTTGAGTTAATTGTAAAATTATGATGTACTAATTGTTGTTTCTATTTATTTGAGGTTGAGTTAATTGTAAAATTATGATGTACTAATTGTGTTAGAAATAGTATACAGATAATTCTGTTTTATATAATTTTTGGAATATATATTAATTGTTTACACCAACACTTTCATTTTTTATTTCACCCCTTTGAACTTTAGACGTGTGTTATGTTTCACTTTATCCATCCGTTCACTGCTATTGTGGCAGGACCAATTGGGTGTGGGAAGTCAAATTTTGTAACAAATTTCATAAAATCAGTTACAGAAATATGTAATTGTGATTTTAATCAGATCACATGGTGCTTTGATGAAATGCAACCATTATATAATTTACCAAATGTTAACTATCATCAAGGAATTCCAAATCTTAATATGTTTGATGGTGAAAACCCACATCTTGTTATTATTGATGATCTAATGAGAGAGTCCGATGGAAGAATTGTGGATATATTTACAAAAGGTAGTCATCACAGGAATCTTAGTGTATTTTATCTAACACAAAATTTATTTCATCAGGGTAAAGGACAAAGAGACATATCTTTAAACTCAAGTTATATAATATATTTTAAAAACCCTCGAGATAAAACTCAAATAAGATATTTAGCAAGACAAGTATCACCAGATAACCCAAAATTCATTGAAAATGCCTACAGGGATGCAACTCTAGAGGCACATGGATATTTAATGGTAGATTTAAAACAGAATACCAATGATTTTTGTAGTATCAAGACAAATGTCTTTCCATTTAATGGTTTCTGTACAGTCTACGTCCCCACAAAAGAGTTTAAATACACCAAGAATCAAACAATTGAAATCATTGCTAAATGATGCATCGTCGACTCACAACGTATAAACATTTGCTAACCGCTTTGCATACGCTTAAACCAAAATATCAAAGAGCATTACTTAAAACGTGTGATGAAGAAGAAATTAACTGTATTTGTGAGTGTATTCATAACGTTTTACAAGGAAAAGTACCTCTTAAAGATCAGGATAAACAAAAATTGAATAAACATAAAAACATACTCCGTAAACTAGTACGTAAGTGTAAACATAAACTAAGAAAAAATATAATTATACAAAAAGGAGGGGCTTTCTTACCAACAATATTAGGTGCAATATTGAGTGGATTAGTGAGTGGACTAGCCAGTTAACATGGAAAATGCAAAGAAAATGATACTTATCGAACCTGGATTGATTGAAAAATTAAAACAAGAAAATAAGGTTAATAGTAATTTATCTCGATTAGATATTGAAATGCAAAATATTATGAATAGTAAGACGGAAGACCGAAAGAAATGGATATTATATTTACAAACACTGCAAAGATACCTTCATTTTACCGAAGAGGATCGTCAACCACTCAAATTACCAATTTATTCTGATACATCTAATGAAGATTCAAATGAGTCAAAAATTGGTTTTAAAAATAAAGATAGAGATCTAAAAACTTCAGTTGATATTGAATCTTTGCTGGAGGAGAATCGATCCATTAAAAGTAAAGAAAATGATGAAAATCCACTTTACACACCAGCTCAAATACTCAGTTTAATACCAAAAACTTATCATAAAAAAGGGCAGTTATTATTAAACTTAGTTGAAACAAGTAAAAGTAAAATACATTGGGATAACGAAGGTACAGTCATAATTGATAGTGAAAAAATTCCTGGAAGTAATATTGTTGATTTAATAAATGATTCACTAAGACCCCTAAAAAGAAGTGATCCGGTAGGGTGGGTTAGATTTGCTGAAGCATTAAAAGATATTAAAGTACCACTTACTTATATTGGAAATCCAAGGAGATGTGAGTTTATTAACCAACTTCAAGCAAAAGATCTGAACAAACCCTCTGAGATTGAAGTTCAAGAGTTTTCTACACCGTGCAGTAGAGATAAAAAGTCTACAACTAAAATACGTAAAGGACTTGAGTGGGAAAAATGGACTCCGTACTAGAAGAAATTAACAGGATTTATTATGATCCATCTAATCCCGCTGGTTTTGGTAGTATTGATAAATTATCAAAAGCCATGAAGGGTAAAATGAATAAAAAGCAAGTAAAGGAATGGTTAAAATCACAAGAAACATACACATTACATAAACCCATTCGAAAAAAATTCCCGCGTAATAGGTACATTCTATCAAATATTAATGAACTGTGGCAAGCTGATTTAAGTGATATGCGAACTTATTCTCAATATAATGATGGTTTCAAGTATATACTTTGTATTATTGATGTATTTAGTAAATATGCTTTTGCAAGACCAATGAAAAAGAAAAACTCAGAAACAACTAAAGAATGTTTTGAAAGTATATTTACTGAAAGTAATTTAACACCTACTCACATACAATCCGATAAAGGTACCGAATTTGTTTCAAAAGATGTACAAAAATACTTTAAATCCAAAAAGATTAATTACTATACCACTAACAATCCTGACATTAAGGCCAGTATTGTTGAACGATTTCAAAGAACACTAAAAATGAAAATGTGGCGTTATTTCACTCATAATAATACTTATAGATATATAGATGTTTTACAAGATTTAATATACTCTTATAATCACAGCTTTCACTCTAGTATTAAGATGTGCCCATGTGATGTAAATTCCAACAATATTATGACAGTTTGGACTAATCTTTATGATAGACGGTCAAAAAAACTTTCTTTAGAAAATCCTAAACCAAATTTCAATGTGGGTGATTATGTTCGAATAACTAAATATAAACATGTATTCCAAAAAGGATATGAATCAAATTGGAGTGATGAAATATTTATTATATCTTCAATAATTGATAGATTTCCATGGGTTGTTTATACAATAACAGATTTACAAAATGAACCAATAATTGGTACTTTTTATGAACGAAAATTACAGAAAATCACTTACAACCCCACCTCACAACATAAAATAGATAAAATAATTGACACTCGTTATTCAGGTAACAGAAAAGAAGTATTAGTGAAGTGGAAAGGTTATCCAGATAAATTTAACAGTTGGATTTTAGCTTCTAGTTTAAAAGAAATATGAATAAAGAAAGTTTCTATTTAACTTTGCTCAGCAATAGTTCAATGGAATACTTTCCTGATAACAAGACCACAAATTTTTCAACGAAATTACCAAAAGCTATAAAATTAGAAGGTGAATGGTCGGTTGGAGTTGTCGAGTTTCAATATCCATGTACCATGTTTACTGTTCAAGACCATGAAAATGTTATATACATTACAAAATCTATGTTAATGCCTAATGAAGATAAGCCATCCACAGTGTACTACAAAAAACATATTCCAGCTACCAACTATGATAACGTTGAGCATATTTTAAGAGTGTTAAATGGTATCGGAGAGAACTTGAAATTTCGCTATGATGAAATAACAAAATTTGTGTCTATTTCGGTATTGGATAAAAATATAACATCCGTAACATTATCACCCAAATTAAGTTTACAGCTAGGTTATGAACCAAATAAAAATCTCCTAGAGAGAAATTTTGGAAAGTGTCCTGCTAATTTACACTTAGGGTTACCATCTCAACTATTTCTATATTGCGATATTATCGATCCTCAGATTGTGGGTGATGTTATGACTCCTTTATTAAGAGTCATTTCATTAGATCCTACAAAATACATTTATGGTGCAAATAAAATGCACGTTTTCTCTCAACCTCACTACTTACCTGTTATGCGAAGAGAGTTCGATACGTTGGAAATAGTTATAAGATCGAGTACAGGACAAAAAATACCATTCCAGTTTGGAACCGTGTGTATTAAACTACATTTCCGAAAATTATAATAATGAATTCTCTTCGTGATCATCATAAATGTCCATATGAAAATTATTATACACATCAAGCTGGATCAGGAGTTGGAGTAATTTATAAGGGTTCACCATATCAACGCGGTCATGGTATTGGGAGCTTCTTAGGGGGGTTATTCAGATCAGTTTTACCTTTACTTTCAAGTGGTGCTCGAGTGATTGGTAAGGAGGCATTAAGCGCTGGAGTAGGACTTTTATCGGATATGGTTCAAGCCCGTCCTATGGAAGCCTCAATAAAAGATCGTCTAAAGCAAGTTAGTACGAATTTAAAACGAAAGGCTGATGAGAAAATTGATCAATTTAACATGACTGGATCTGGGTATAAAACTAAAAGAAAACGATTGACATCGTTCATTCCACCATTAACTGCTAAAGTGAAAGCTGCGAAAAAACTTAGTCTAAAACCAAAAAATATCAAAGATATATTTTCAAACTAAATATGTCTTTCCTTCATAATCATTCTTGCGAGTGCGTTAAGTCAGAATTGGATTTGTTTGCACTACCGTCTACACAAACTAGCATTGAAAATGGATTGTGGATTCATTATAAACCAATTTCATCTCTTGGTGATGATGGACCTATCGAGTTTCAAGTTCCTGGGACCGGCGATGACTACATAGATTTGTCTCATACATTACTCCACATAAAGGCAAAAGTATTAAATCAAGATTCAACTAACTTGGTATCTACTACAATAGTAGCACCTGTAAATAATTGGCTGCATTCACTTTTTAGTCAACTTGATGTTTATTTAAACCAAAAACTTGTATCACCACCTAATAATACCTATGCATATCGAGCATACATGGAAACCCTTTTAAACTATGCCCCTGCTGCTAAACAATCTCATCTTACTTGTAGTCTTTGGTATGAGGATACAGCAGGAAAAATGGATTCTACAGATGGTAAAAACATAGGATTTGTTAAAAGACAGGAATTGATTAGTGAAAGTAAGGAAATAGAAATGATTGGTCATCTTCACGGTGACATTTTTAACCAAGATAAATTTTTAATTAATGGTGTTGAAATGAGTGTTAAATTGGTTCGATCAAGAGAGAGTTTTAATTTAATTGTTGGGTCGAACGATGTAAAGTTTAAAGTTTGCATTACGGACGCAACTCTTATTGTGCGACGAGCACGAATTAATCCAAGTGTATTACTCGCACATCAAAAAGTTTTAGCTTCTACCACTGCTAAATATCCTATTACTCGAGCTGAAGTAAAAGTTTTAACAATTCCTTCAGGTGTTCAAGGAAAAACTCTTGATAATATATTTTTAGGACAGGTACCGAAAAGATGTATAATTGGATTTGTGAACAATTCTGCATTTAATGGTTCCCTTACTAAAAATCCATTTAACTTTGAAAACTATGGTATTAATTCTTTCAGCTTATATATTGATGGTCAACAAATACCTTCAAAAGCTTTGCAACCATCTTTTAATAATAGCATATTTACATCAGCATATCATACTCTATTCTCGGGAACTGGTATTCACTTTCTTAATGAAGGAAATGGAATCTCTTGTGAACAGTATGGCAAAGGTTACTGTCTATTAGCATTTGACTTAACTCCTGATTTATCAGCTAACTCATCAACTCATTGGAATCTCATAAAGCATGGTAGTGTAAGAATAGAAGTACGATTTGAGTCCTCATTAATACAAACAATTAACTGTATAGTTTATGCTGAGTTTGATAATATTATTGAGATAGATAAAAACAGAAATGTTACTGTAGACTATAGTAGTTAAGGTTATAATATGTGTTGTGTGTTAGATTTTATGTGTTATGTGTAATGCATTTTGTGTGTATGTAACTATGTGAAACGTTATAAAATTAAATAAAACAAATTGTATGCAATATATTTTTTTTATTTCTTTATAAATCTTCTATTTAATCTAATACAAAACACTGTTAGAGTTGAAATTTTACATAAGCACACTGACTAAACCACTGAACATGCTGCTGCCAAGGATCATCATCATCTTCCCAATCTTTTAAACCACCACCACAATGGAAACACTTGGTCCAGTCTGCATGGCCAGTATAAAAGAAACCAGCTTCGGCAAGATCTTCAGGTTTCTGTCGCATAACTAGAGGCCAGTTTTCGAAACTAAGCAAACGGCTAGATTTTGAACTGAAGAATGGATATTCAGCTCTTGAGTACTGCATACTCTTCTCGTTTTCTTCTCCACTCAGTGTTGTAGTTTTGTTATTCAATGATGTGTTTTGTACACGTATGCCACACTCATCTCTTCCTTCCGCTCTTGTCTTCCTGTAATTGAAGTAAACAGAATCACATTCACTAATGATCAGCTAATGACTGTCATTGTTAAAAAAGTATTTTTTAACTTTTTCACTTTCTGCTATTGTCTTTGTTATATTGTATACGAGGGCGTTTGTATTGTCGTAGATGCTATCCTTATTAGTCTTTACGTAATATTTAATTCTCGTGGAAGCATGTTTCCAATGATCAGTAGTTGGAATCTTGGATAGCTTCTTCATATCGTACATTTCAATTTTGATGAGATGCGTCGCTTGGTCTCCGTCGTCAGAATTAGTAGAAATGTATGATACACCATCTCTAGCGGCTCGTGCTACGGTTGATGATAACAGCTTCCTCTTTTTTATTTTTGATTCAGCTTCAAAAAAATGATCAATCGATTGCGATTTTCTTTTTCCACCATCGCATGTGTTATTATTAATGACGAGGTTATCACTCTCTTCTTGAGGGGAGAGTGGCGAGTAGTAATACTGTTTATAGGTATCTTCATCGAAGCTCAATGATTTCTGCAACAACACAGTTATCATGTTAATATCAATTTGTCAACACTTAATCATAAAAGTTAAAAAAGTTAAAGTTACAGCCTATTAAAGTCCACTGCTGAACATAGGCCTCCTCTCATTTCTGAGAGGGTTTTAGAGCAAGGAAATGTCCGCCGCGCTCCCTCAATGTGTGTTGGCGAACTTCACATGCCTTCGAAATTTTCTCAGACATGCAGGTTTCCTCACGATGTTTTCCTTCACCACCAAGCACGTGGTAATAAGCACTTAAAATTGCTATTAACAATTTAATTGGTGCTGGCGGGGATCGAACCCGGGTCGCGTACTGTGAAATTTACAGCTAGCGCTAACCATCTGAGTTACCACGGCTTAATCATATACATACACAATATTTAAATAAAATAATACACACACATGAAAATAACAGAAAAAAAGTAATTTAGTCAATAGAATAAACACTTACATCCATAGCCTTTGGTGTATTGAAGTAACACAAATGTACTATTGATAGATCCACTGTAGCCAAACGACCGTACACTAACTCGATGACTGCATTTGTTGGTCTTATATACCACCAGTACGTAAAAATTCTAATCTAAAGTATTTCCGTAATGAGTTGATAATTACTTTATGCGTCAACCAGTTTATCTCACATTTCCGTTGCCTATCTCAACATTTCTTCGTATTGTGTTTTGTTTGGTGATCAATGACTCAAGTACGATTTGTATAACACAAAAATGCAATTTAATATTTAGAAACATATCAGTTTATCTCACATTTCCGTTGCCTATCTCAACATTTCTTCGTATTGTGTTTTGTTTGGTGATCAATGACTCAAGTACGATTTGTATATCACAAAAATGCAATTTAATATGTAGAAATCACTATAATTGACCATTCCTATGTTATTCATTGAGTAGCTAGGTACTGTAATAATCTACTAATAGCAGTAATATCATGGATACACTAGATGTACAACAACATCTGAAAAAGATTCACCCCAGTCTAGAAAATAATGTTTATGCAGCTAATAGACTGCCTATGTATACCCACGTACCAACGTATATAATATGTAATTTGGATACAGATGATAAACCAGGGTCACATTGGGTAGCTTTATATATCGATACGAATGACGTCGGTCAATATTTTGATTCATATGGACGATCACCTGTACGATATCATCTAGAGTTTTTAAAAAGGAATTGTAAAAGATGGAACTGGAATGTTGATAGGATTCAGAATGAGTGGACTTCAGTTTGTGGCGAATATTGCTTAATGTATTTACTATATAAGTTTCAAGGATGTTCAATACATAGTTTTACGAGTATATTTACAAGGAACACATTGTACAACGATATTTTAGTGGATGAGATGTTTCGCTCCTATTTTATAGATAATAATTAATAAGATTTTGTATTTTATAAATAAAAATTGTAACAAAATTATGTAATGTGTTTTATTGATGATTCAGATTAGTGTTGTATAAACAAAGAACTATAACACAATAGCACTGATATAGTCGACGCACACGCTGCAATGAAGGTGATTAAGGAACAATAGAACAATAGAAATAGGAACAATGGGACGCTAATGACGGTGGAGGCCCTTACCGGATATCAATTAGATATTAGCTAATTGATCTACACATCTCCGGAACCGTGCATTCTACACAAAAATGGACCGCGGATTCGTGATCAGAGCATGCCAAAACCTTTTTTTTTTTTTTTTTTTTTTTTTTTTTTTAGGATCGGGCGTCGACGAACGTCGTTGAACCACGTCTGACTCAGGTGGTCTAGAAGTGGTACAACTACACTACTCGATATGTCGACGCCGAGGATTCCGATGCTAGCTAAAGCAGCAAATGGAGTGCCTTGAAGGTGAGGAGATACGACAAAGGGATTCTTTTTAGCTGTAAAAGCGCAAACTTGTGTCTTCTGGGGATTGAACTGGACTAGATTTAGTCGCTCCCAATCCGAGACTTTGTTCAGCAAAGACTCGACTTCAGACAAGTTTGTCCCGGTACTCGCCGACGTTTTCCCGAGAAATATTGGCACGGCCGGTATATAAGGCATCACCAGTGCTGTCGTCCGCATAGCAATGAATGTTACTAGTTTGCAACATATCATTGATATGCAGGAGAAACCGCGTTGGTGATAGCACGTAACCTTGTGGAACACCAGCGTTGATAGGCTTGAAATCAGAGCATGCACCGTCTACTACGACCTTGATGCTCCGATCAGCAAGGAAACTGGTAATCCATTTGCACAATTTCTCGGAAAGCCCATAAGAAGGAAGCTTCGAAAGAAGCGCTTTGTGCCAGACCCGATCGAAGGCCTTCGCTATGTCCAAACTAACGGCCAATGCCTACCCCTTGGACTCTACTGCCTCCGCTCATCTATGAGTCAGGTAGACCAGAAGATCACCAGCTGATCGACCCCGACGAAAACCGTACTGGCAGTCCCTAATCAGCTAGTGATCCTCAAAGTACCTCATGAGCTGACAGTTTATAATGAATTCCATTATTTTGGAGAACAAGGAGATTATGGCGATAGGCCTGTAGTTGGACGGGTATGAGCGATCGCCTTTTTTAGGGATCGGGTGGACCAAAGCTGTCTTCCATGAATTCGGGACTACGCCTTAGTAGGAGTACCGGAAAAGACGCGTTAAAACCGGTACCAACTCCGGAGCACACGCCTTCAGCACAATGGGAGGGACTCCATCAGGCCTACTCGATTTTCTGACGTCCAGGGAGAAGAGTGCTTTACGAACCGAGCTCTGTGTAAATCGCACATCCGGCATGGAGCACTCACACCGCGGGATGGTCGGCGGTGTGTTCCCCCCGTCATCTAGAGTCGAGTTGGACGCAAAGAGAGAGCTTAAAAGATCGGCTTTCTCCTTTCCGGCATGGGCCAGTGAGTCGTCCTCTCTGTGCAGAGATAGAAGAGATGGCTGACAGAAGTTCCCTTGGACAGCCTTGGCGAGAGACCAGAATGCATGGGTTCCCGAAGGAAGGTGAACTAGCTTCTCGCCAATTCTGCCGATGTGCTCAGACCTTGCCTTGGCAATGACGCTTTTGTAGGACCTGGAGGCGGAATTATACTTCTTTTTAAGTGCGCTGGTGTTTACATCCCGAGACGTTGATGCGTCAGCCCAGGCCCGGTAGCACTCCTGCATATAGCGTGATGCAATTTTGCAGGAGCGACCAAACCATGGCTGGGATCTGCCTCCGATGGGCACCACAGAGGATGGAATCAGCAACAACGCTAGGATCTTCCGGCGACAAGTAAACCCGCGTCCAAGGGGAGGATGCAAAAAAAGACCGCATTCCGTCCCAATCGGCCGACCTATAGTGCCAAACATGGCGGCAAGCTGCAGATCGCAACTGCGATGGGAGCGTGAGTGGCACCGTACTCCGGATCAGACAATGGTCCGAAGAGCCCAGAGGGGCATCAACGGAGACCTAATATCCGTCCGGATGAGAGGTCAGCATAAGGTCCAACAGGGAAGGTACATGATCCTCCATACCTGGGATCCGCGTAGGCAAAGTAACCAGTTGTGTTAGACCATATGACAAGGAAAAGACATAGATAGATCTACCCGCATGATCGGTTAAACGGCAATTAAGCCATTCAGCGTGGTGGGCGTTAAAATCACCGAGTATCACGATCTCTGCGGATAGGACCTGTTGTAGCACGGAGTCTGCAGCCATTTGGACGTGGTCGATGAGTCGGTCTGTGTCGGCATTACCGCTATGGGACCTATAGATGCACCCGTAGACGCGGGGATGGTCGTCGCTGTCTACGCGCAGCCATAGGATGGACAGGTCCGTACCTTCAAGACTGCCGAGGCGTCGAAAACATATGTACTCTGTGACCGATACGCAAACCCCAGCCCGAGGCACAAAGGAGTGTTCTAATTTGTACCCCGGGTAGGAGAGATATGAATTATCAGCCGGAGTCTCGGT